GCATCCCAACTAGGGAGCTCCAGGCCGTCCTCTCCCCAGCCTTGTCCACCAGCTCCTCCGGCAGGACCCCAAGGCGTTCCCGGACCAGATTGGAGATGTAACCTCTCCAACGTGTCCTGGGTCGACCCGGGGGCCTTCTGCCGGCAGGACATGCCCGAAACACCTCCCCGGGGAGGCGTCCAGGAGGCATCCTGACCAGATGCCCAAACCACCTCAACTGGCTCCTTTCAATCCGGAGGAGCAGCGGTTCTACTCCGAGTCCCTCCCGAATGTCCGAGCTCCTCACCCTATCTCTAAGGCTGAGCCCGGCCACCCTACGGAGGAAACTCATTTCGGCCGCTTGTATCCGCGATCTCGTTCTTTCGGTCATTACCCAAAGCTCATGACCATAGGTGAGGATTGGGACGTAGATCGACCGGTAAATCGAGAGCCTGGCTTTCTGGCTCAGCTCCCTCTTCCCCACGACAGATCGGCTCAGCGTCCGCATCACTGCAGACGCCGAACCAATCCGCCTGTCGATCTCCCGATCCCTCCTACCCTCACTCGTGAACAAGACCCCGAGATACTTAAACTCCTCCACTTGAGGTAGGACCTCTCCCCCGACCCGGAGGTGGCAAGCCACCCTTTTCCGGTCGAGAACCATGGTCTCAGATTTGGAGGTACTGATCCTCATCCCAGCCGCTTCACATTCGGCCGCGAACCTACCCAGCAAGAGCTGAAGGTCAGAGCTGGATGAAGCTAGGAGGACCACATCATCCGCAAAAAGCAGAGACGAGATTCTCCTGCCACCAAACTCGACACACTCCACACCACGGCTGCGTCTAGAAATTCTGTCCATAAAAGTGATGAACAGAACCGGTGACAAAGGGCAGCCCTGGCGGAGTCCAACCCTCACTGGGAACAGGTCCGACTTACTACCGGCTATGCGGACCAAACTCACGCTCCTCTGGTAAAGGGACTGAATGGCCCTTAACAGAAAGCCACCCACCCCATACTCCTGGAGCGTCCCCCACAGGGTGCCCCTGGGGACACGGTCATAAGCCTTCTCCAAATCCACAAAGCACATGTGGATTGGTTGGGCAAACTCCCATGCCCCCTCCATCACCCTTGCAAGGGTATAGAGCTGGTCCACAGTTCCACGGCCAGGACGAAAACCACATTGCTCCTCCTCTATCTGAGATTCAACTATCGATCGGACCCTCCTCTCCAGTACCTTGGAGTAGACCTTTCCAGGGAGGCTGAGGAGTGTGATCCCCCTATAGTTGGAACACACCCTCAGGTCACCCTTCTTAAAGATGGGGACCACCACCCCGGTCTGCCACTCCCTAGGAACTGCCCCCGATGACCACGCAATGTTGTAGAGACGTGTCAACCATGACAGCCCTACAACATCCATAGCCTTGAGATACCCAGGACGAACCTCATCCGCCCCCGGGGCTCCGCCGCTGTGTAGTTGTTTGACTACCTCAGCAACTTCTGCCCCCGAGATCGGACAGTCCATCCCCAGGCCTCCCAGCTCTGGTTCCTCCTCGGAATGCGCACTGGTGGGATTGAGGAGCTCCTCAAAGTATTCCTTCCACCGTCCGACTATAGCCTCAGTTGACGTCAGCAGCTCCCCATCCCCACTGTAAACAGTGTGAGCGAGTTGCTGCCTTCCTCTCCTGAGGCGCCGGACAATTTGCCAGAACCTCTTTGGAGCCGATCGATAGTCTTTCTCCATGGCCTCACCAAACTCCTCCCACGCCTGAGATTTTGCCTCGGCAACTGCCACTGCTGCACCCCGCTTGGCTATCCGGTACCTGTCTGCTGCCTCCGGAGACCCACAGACCAGCCACGCCCTGTAGGCCTCCTTCTTCAGCCTGACGGCTCCCCGAACCTCTGGTGTCTGGTGGTGGATATCGGTATCAGCCGATGTTAATCATTTTTTTAACATATCGGTAAATGCTTGATAAATAAAACTGGGCCAATATTAACAACTGATATTTTTTCCATCTTGTCTCCATTTGTTTGCCTGTTTCAGAGGGCGAGGGGTGATGTGTATTTGTTTAGTCATGTGAACATTGAATGAAATCATCTCAGAAGCATACATGTGTGTGATGTGTGTACATAATAATGTAAAATTGGCTTTGATCATTTTCATTTTATACAAAATCTTCTGATTTTAGAAGCATTAATGTCAGTATATCGGTATCTGCAAATATCGGTTATCGGCCATAACAGTGATCTTAATATCGGTATCGGCTAGGGCTGTCGCAGTTGAGGAATTCCCCCTGCGGTGATTCAGGGTGGCTTAATATTGCGGTGTGCGATATTATTGCAGCACTTTTTTTTTATTGCAGTACTATCTAAACATAATGTTTACACATTTGAAAAAGGTTAAAAATTGCCTTCTTTTATAACACTTTACTGAATGCAGATCAAAGGGCAGTAACAACACAGATCGCAGTAACGTTTGTTTCTCCGACAGTCGGAGTCCGACTGAACTTAAAAACAACAAAATTCAGGAGAAGGTTAAACTTTTAAATGCAAATTTGGCTGCAGCATCTAACAAATAAGAAACAAGTCTCCATTTTGTTTAGTTGTTTAAAATCAAGCATAAAAAATTACATGTACCGGGCGCGGGGCACTATAATTTCACTTTCACTTTCACACACACGAATGACGGTGCTTTATAGCTCGGTCACGTCCTTGTTACCTACAAGGAAAACCAGCATGTTAGCCATATACGGTTTGAGAGAGGATCTGAGAGGGGTGGCAACATTTCCAGCAACACTGAAAACCCTCTCGGATGGTGCGCTCGTTGCACTAACACACACGTACTTGCGTGCGACTGGCAAGCAAAGGGAATCTCTCCCGGTTGTTGCTCCACCATGTCGGGGGGGTTTCTTTAGGGTCGATGCATTCCTCCTGCAGGTAGTGAGTGAGCTCCAGCTCGGCTCAAACTCTCTTCAGGACGGTTGCAGAAGCAGTGCTTGTCCGGGACTTCAGCAGGTCTCCGAGCGTTTATTTATTTATTTATTTATTTGCCGCTGGTGGCAGCTCTGTCTCGGCCAAGGACCCTGGCTGCGCAGCAGCTGACGTACTGAAAACCAAAGTGCTCCCAAAGGAGCGAAGTAGCATTTCGTTTTGATACCAGTGCAGCCATCCTTCTCAACATGCATCATTGAGTTGAATCAAGTTCAGTAATCGCGGTGGCCCATGATGCAGCGCGGTGGGTTTCTTCATATTGCGATATTTCATTTTTGCGGTTACCGTGACAGCCCTAGTATCGGCCCAAAAATTTTATATCGGTGCATCACTAATTTGAACTCAATAAATAATGTGTTCAAAAAAGTAAAAATTGAGCATGCTTTTACTCTTTTCCATCATTTTCATTGAAGCCCAAATTTACATTTTTTACAATAAATTCAAATAAATATTTCAGTTAGGGGTGCACCGATTGCTGTTTTTGGCCGATCACCAATCTTGAGAAAAATCAGACCTTGTCGATACAGATTTTTTTTACCAATACTAATTTAGTTTTAACTAACAGCAGATTACGTCAATGTTTCAATTTCCTTTTGTTGAGAAAACCAATATGAATACTCATGAAACAATACCAGTTTCAACTGGACATGAGGTAGTGTTTTTAAAATATAATTGAACATATTTAGCATTGCTGTTTGAACTACAAAATCATTTTTGTTCCTTTAGACTTTATTTTTTTCTAATTTTGAAAACAAGACTTTTGTGCCTGTTTTGACACACTTATACAAAAAATATTCTATGGCAATGATTTGTTTTAGCATTAACTAGGGGGGCACAGATTGCAGTTTTTCACCATTTTGAAGAAAAAAAAAGAGATCTGGGCTGATATATTGGTTGGCTAATAGATCGGTGCACCCCTAATTTTAGTTTTAAGCTTAATGGCTGCAGATTAGCAATACACATTTAGATGATAGGTAGAGTTTGTATAAGTAAGGAATGTACAATGACAAAACACGGTTTCTTCTTCTAAAATATATTTATGGCTCTGCCTATCCCATAATGGTCTGCTCTATAACGCAGAGCTGAAAAGCCACTTAGATGATAGAGGCACTTCATCATTTGGAAGATTAGGGTTTGACTCATAATCTATCATATCTGAAAGTGCTGTTGTATATATGGAGTGCAAATAGAAGAAGTACCCTAAGAGTGTTTGGAGATGAGGATCACATTGTACAGCACAGTGAAAAGCCTACACAACACACGGTACTTGAATAATTTATCATTAAGAATAAAGAATGGGAAAATGTTTGTGTTAGGTTGAATTCTGTAAATTGTGTGTTACTTTTTGTTTGCAAGTGATGCAAGTTCTCCTTTTAGAACTGACCGATACATTTAGGCCATACTCTTTGAATGCTACTTTTCACTTCTTATGACTGGATCTAAAAACAGTGCTTAGTCCAAAAGTGTCAAGTGCAGCATTTTAAAACACATGTTCCCCTATAGTTCCAAACCGTTCTCAACAGCCTAACTCCTGGGGTCTTGGGCACTCACATCCCCCACCATGATGAGAGTCTGTTGGTCTGTGCATTTTTTGTAGTTTGCCACTCATTTTTGTTTCTGACATCATACCCCACTGAAAGAGGGCATCGAGTACTTTTGAAGGACTAGAAGAAATTATCTTTTTGCTGACTTGGGAATGGAGCAGTAGTTGCAAGACATTTGACCTGGATGGATGGATGGATGACCTCTAGCACATTGCTACCATTTCAATTACAGTTCTTAACAATAATCATCCTCTTGGTGTAATTTTGAAAGTAATATTTAATTGGCTGTTTTGAAAGACGTGTTTTTTACAAATAGATTGGGCAGTGTGTGAGGGATTTTATTGTGATCCACACAGCTGAAGACATTTGACCTGAAAAAACGCTTTAATCTAAAGCTGAAGAACTTTGATGTTTGTCAGGATTATCATGTTTACCACTAAATGAGTCTGCTGAGCCTGGTTTCCTGATTTGTATCTGCTTCTTTTGCAGGTTTAACAAGAAAGCAATCAGGTAAGACATTTTATTTTTCCATATGTGCTTCTGATGATAATATCCTGCAATACTGCTTAATAGTAGTTGGACCTCACGTAGATCCAGTTGAGAGAACTGGAGTTGGTACTGTGCTGTAACACAGAAGTCCTCAGCATCTTGACCAAACATACACCACCAACCCCCACTTTTTCATGAACACACACACACACACACACACACACACACACACACACACACACACACACACACACACACACACACACACACACACACACACACACACACACACACACAAAGTGACAAAGACATCCCTCTTCCATGAGCAGCCTATTACTGCCTTCCTCTGTGAACGGGAACAGAGGCCTCTCACAGCTGGGGCCAGAATGGGCAGAAGCAGCCATACATAGAGTCTGAAGGTTCATGTCGGAGTCTGGCCTCGTGGCATCTCCACTGAGGAGTGTCCTTTATCTGGTCTTGGTCTCTGAGCTCTCAGGAGAATGGTTGCACATCCTCTTCAGTTGTCACATGAGACAGCGAGGACACTCAACATCATTCGTCTATTAGAACATCTTACTGTAATAAATACTCATTAATTCTTTATTCATGCAACATTTCTCAAATATTCGCTTTCCTGAATTGTGTTGACGGAGAGCAGTAGCACGGCAGGATTTATGCTCTACAATGCTTGGCCACATGATTACTTTAAGCACTCATCATCACATCTTTTTTGTCACATTCACCACCTGTTACTCACCCTCGTTCCTCTTTCCCTAGAACCAGCAGCATTCTCAGTAAAGACCACCCCCCAGACAAGAAACCCAAAAGTGACAAAACCTCACCTCCCTCCAATGAGTTTGACCCTACAGGTAACTTCCCAGTCTCACTTTCAGGCTTACATCTTTACACTTCTTCTTTTTTGATGTTTACTTACTTACAGCTTTTATTAGGCCCGAGCAGCGAAAGCGCTGCGAAGGCCTCTTGTTTTTTTGCTCTGTTTATTCTTTCTTTTTTCTTATTTATTATTCCGGTGCCGCTTTGAACGGCTTTTTGGGGACCTTAACATACCCCAAAACTCACAATATTTTGCAACCTTGTCAGGCCTGGTGAAAAATTTTATATTTTAAAGGTCCCAAAAAAAATCGCAAAGAAAATGGCTGAACAGCGCCCCCTACAAGGTGAAAAAAAACCCTCTCCATAAAGCTTAGTTTATCGTACAGTTATGAAATTTGGTACACTTCTAGTACTCATCAGTCCGCACAGAAAAGTCTCTTGCAACCATGGTCAATATCAAACAGGAAGTCGGCCATTTTGGGTTGAAATGGCGATTTTTAGCCGTTTCTGCCGTTTTTAGGGTCCGTTTCTGATTGGATTGCTCGATCATTTTTTGCACGATCGTCTCATAAATTGTGTAAAATTGTTCAGAAGGGATGGGTGAACAAAATGAGACAAGGATTCTGACTTTTCGTATATGTTGAAGGGGCGGGGCCAGGCCTCGAAGTTTGACTGCTCGCCAAAAAAGTTTAAATTGCTATAACTTCATAACTGAATGGAATAGAGTTACCAAACTGTCTGTGGTCATTCGTCATCCACCCACAAAGTAAATTGAATGGTCGGATGATGACATCACACAAGCCCCGCCCCCTCAGGAGCAAAAAGGTCAAGTTTTACTGTGAAAGGTCCCAAATTGCCCCATTTCACTTAATCACCACAAATTTGTAGCTGGTAACTCAAGACAAGTTGGGGTTGCTTGGCGTCTCTTTATGGGAGTTTTCGGCAGAGGGCGGGGCTGTGGCGGCGCGGCGAAGTCAGGCGTACCGCCGTGGCCTTACGTTTGCCGCCCATTTCGTCATTTCTAAAGATATCGTCACGAAACTTCTTGTGAGTGATCCTAGTCCGGCCCCCCAAAAGATCTGATGTCAACATCCGGTGGGCGTTGCCTATTTTCTGAAATAGCGCCCCCTAGGACCATTAAAACTGTCAGCCCCAAGCCATGCTTTGACTGAGGATTACGAAATTTGGTACACTAATGTGGTGTCTCAGGACCTACAAAAAAGTCTCTTGGAGCCAAGTGCAAAGTCGCACAGGAAGTCGGCCATTTTGGTCCAAGTACGCGATTTAGTGGTTTTCGCACACGTTGTTTGGAGAGTGATGCTCCGTTGCCCTTTTCACCAATCTCCTTCAGACTTGTGTTATATAATCTTAAGACATAGGGGGAAAAATTCCACCGTGGATTTTTCAAAAGTTGAAAGGTGTGGGCGTGGCTAAGCCTCAAACTTTGACCTGTCGCCACGCCACTCTTTTTTTCACAGCTCCCTACTGGACTCCTTTTACCCAATCACCAGGATTCTGTGGCAAACAGCAGTAGACAACTTGAGGTTACCTGGTCTCCAGTACTGGCAGGTTTTGAATAAAGGCGGGGCTTTGAGAGCATGGCGAAAATCGCCATCACGCCATGGAAATACGTTTGCCTCTCATTTATTCAGTTATCGTGATATCACTACGAAACTTCTGGTGATTGATCCTAGTCTGACCCCCAAGAGAAATGGACAGCTGAAGTTTGTGGGCGTGGCCTATTCTCTTAAATAGCGCCCCCTAGGACCATTTAAACTAATAGCCCCAAGCCATGCTTTGACTGAGGATTACAAAATTTGGTACACTAATGTGGTGTCTCAGGACCTACAAAAAAGTCTCTTGGACCCAAGCGCAAAGTTGCACAGGAAGTCGGCCATTTTGGTCAAAGTACGCGATTTAGTGGTTTTCGCACACGTTGTTTGGAGAGTGATGCTCCGTCGCCCTTTTCACCAATCGCCTTCAAGCTTCTGCTATGCACTCTTAAGACAGAGGGGAAAAAATTCCACCGTCGGATTTTTCAAAAGTTGAAAGGTGTGGGCGTGGCTAAGCCTCAAACTTTGACCTTTCGCCACGCCACTCTTTTTTTTTCACGTCCCTATTGGACTCCTTTTACCCAATCAATAGGAATCTCTGGCAAATAGCAGTAGACAAGTTGAGGTCACTTGGTATCCAGTACAAGTAGGTTTAGAAAAAGGGCGGGGCTTTGGCAGCATGGCAAAAATCGCCATCACACCAAGGAAATACGTTTGCGTCCCATTTCTTCAGTTTTCGTGATATCGCTACGAAACTTCTGGTGAGTGATCCTAGTCTGACCCCCAAGAGAAATAGACAGCTGAAGATTGTGGGCGTGGCCTATTTTCTGAACTAGCGCCCCCCTAGAGTCATTAAAACTGTCAGCCCCAAGCCATGCTTTGTCCGATTGATGCCAATTTAACAGAAAAACATCTTGTCAGCCAAAGCTGACCTCATTGGGATTGGGATGGTCACAGCGCCCCCTAGATAACTTTAACCTACAATAACTTTAAAAAAACGTGGTCAGAAAAGCATTACAGTTGGCCTGTGTCATCACACCACCAGTGTGGTAAAGATAGAGTTTGCCCTATTGGTGAGACATGTAGTATAATGATGGGCTCAGAGGGGATGCTGAGTCAGGGTGAGGTGCGGACGAGGTGACCGTTAGCGGTTTCTGGTGTCGGGGTGGCCGACGTTTCTGTTCCGCGGACGTGCCCTGTTGCCTCGGGCTGCCGGCCAGGCCGGAGCGGCGCGGAGCTGCGAGGGCCGAACGACGCTGCTTGCAGCTTTAATTTTGTTTTCTATTTCTAAGCTTTATTCATTCTGTTTGTCAAATGGAACAAATTTGCTGTGTTTTGCTGCAATGGTGAAAGTGTGTGCTTTATATTTTGTTTGTAATTGCAGGGCTCCAGACTTTTAACACCAATAGCACTTTAGCAGCTAAACATTTAAAAGCAGCACTAACTTCCCTCTGGCACATATATTTCCGTCACTGCTACACTAATGATGAATAATTCATTTAGTTATGATCATAAAATTTACAAACATGCATTTTTAGATTTTAGGGTTGGAACTAAATTCCATCATACTACCTTAAAATCCGTTCAAGCAAAAGTAAGTACCAAATCCATTGCAATGACAAGTGAAGGGCATCAATTCTTGAATATTTTACACTTTAGCTGCTTATTTTTCTTTTTCACTCCCACATAAATTCAGTCAGAATCAATTTTCTCTTTTAAACAAATGAACATGAGCCATAAATACAGCAAAGTTTCCACATTTGTCATTAGTCAGCTTCAGGTGTTCTGAGTTTTATAGCCACCATAGTCACCTGTGCAGTTGACTCCAGCCTTTGCAGATACGATTCAGTCTCATTACTGAAGCAGGATTAATGGTGTTGTCCTTCAGTCGAATTTTAATTTTCTTTTGCCAGCCAGTTAACTACTTTAAGCCAACTTCATCTTCTAAACAACCTTCGTCAACATGAGGTTGAAATTTTACACTGTTGACTCTGAGCTTTTTAAATACAAACATAGCACAAAAAAGCAGAAAAAGAAACAAGAGATCTTTTTTTTTTTTTAATAAATAAAGACAACCTGCTCACCCTTGTTTCTAGGCCGCATTGTCCTGGTGCAATATTTACAATATTTATGTCTCAGCTTCTTCCTTCACACACACACACACACACACACACACACACACACACACACACACACACACACACACACACACACACACACACACACACACACACACACACACACACACACACACACACACACACACACTTTTTTGCTTAATAAGCTGCATGATGACAATTAAAACGGTGTTTGATTGGGTGTTTACTTTAATGTTTTTCCTAATTAAGAAAATTGGTCAATCTCATGGATTATTTGCGAATGCATAAACAGTTACGGTCTGGAGCCTTGGACAGTGCTTACCTGTGTTATGTGTTCTAAAATAATAGTTTGAACAGGAATTTTTCTGCTTTTTTAAAACTGGGATGGTTCTGTATCTGCAAAGTCCAGATAGTTCTTTTAATTTTACATAAAACTATGCTTCCAGGCATAAAGGCCACATAAAGTCTCTAAGCTTGTTATTTTATCAAATCCCATTTTTTGCAGGATGAGCTTGTTGAGGTTCCATAACAGATCGGTTTAATATGGTGGCTGTCCCTTTGGTGTTTGTCCACAAGCAAGGCAGCGCGGTTTAAGAAATGACTGAAGCTCCTGTACTCAAAACAGCAGAAAAATCCTCAGTGCCAAATGGTAGTTGATCTCTGTGTGATGCAACAAATCTTAGACAAGATATAATTTCTCAGTGGTTACACAAGAAATGTCCTGTTTTATCTAGCACTGCTTATACATGCAATTCCCAAAAAAAGGCTTCCATTATTTAATAAAAATATTAATCTTTTAATTCCCCCTCTTTATAAACATTGTTCATTTGTGCTTTTTTGTTGTCATGCATATAAGCTTGCGCTGTTTGTTTATGCTTGTTGCTAATATTAATTTGCATGTTGCATGAACTTGACCAGTTGTTTTGAATGTTACCTGATTTCTCCAAATAATTTTATAATGGTTTGGTTATAGTAGAAAATGTTGAAAACAGATGCACACATTGTAAATTTTTGCTAACCTGCTGATTCGGATTTAACTGCGTCAGATTCCTCCCTGAAATTATAACTATAAGCATATAGATTTGTTTTACTTTATTTAACCTTTATTTAACAAGATGATTTAACCAGAATATCAATTTCTCAAATGTTTAATTTCTAGTTCAATAAAAAATCTGATAGTTATGAACCTGTGGATTTAGTCATTATTATAGACTTTGAAACAAATATGGAGCACCAGGAAAAATGCAAAAAAAAAAAAAAAAACACACATTTCTGCTGAGCATTATTTTCTTTACAAATGGACTCTAGTTTAATCCAAACCAGTATGTTTTAAGGCTGTGTTCATTTACTTTTTCTTCTTCATGATTTGTTTCTGCTTTTATGATTTTCTCTTTCCTGTTTTGTGTTTCCTTTCCACGTGTTTTTGTTTTTGTTTTGTTCTGTTTGTGCGCTGCTGTGCTGTCTGGTGGGGGCTGTGGGCAGACGCTCTGGTGGTGCAGAAGAGTGGCAACAACAGTGTGCTAGCAGAGGGGAAGCCTGAGTCCTGTGGTAAGATGTTCTGGTGTCACGGCTTTTAGAGCCTGGTGCGAAATTGCCAATGGTTAAAATAAAGTTCAATAAGTTTAGTTCTTTTAAATGAATGCAGCCAGTCCATAAAAAAACCCATCTGCACTGGCCACTATAAAAAAGGAGACATTTCAAACTGGAATCTGCAATTTTATTATTCCTTGAATAATGCAAAAAAAAAAAAACATGTTTCAAATTAATGTATGCTTCTGCACAGCAGCCAAGATTAAAATCGTGTGTTTTGGCTCTTAACGTCTGTACTAGTTGTTATATAAGACCTAAGCGGCTGTTCACAGCTTTAGGATTACCAAGGTCCTGTTGAACTGTGTAGCTTTAACACTTGAGCCAGGTCATGGGTGGTATTTCTGCACATTTTGAATTAAATAATCTTTGAAGGTCAATGAAGCCCTACGCAGGGTATTTTTACCCTGATTTATTCTCAGTGTAAAACTAAGCACTCAGTGGGTTTGGCTTGTTTCCTGAATTCATGTTAACAGATGATGGGGCCTCGTCATCCCATCATGCATCTCTGCTCAGCTACTTTCCGCTCTCTCGTGCTGGTAACAGTTTTTGTTTCTGGTTCTGTTTCAAAGAGGGTCTGAAAAAAATCCTTATCACCGAACAGCAGCCAAAACCCCAAATACTCAAACTCCACTCACAGGAAGTAGTTTTGCCGGTTGTATTTCAACAATTTATGCCCCCTCTATTTGGCTTGGTGCTTCTAAAGGTGCACTGTCAATATGAAAGGTCAGTTTATTCTCTAGAGAACATTTCCTTGCATTTTAGCAAAGGGTGCTGATTACATATCAGTTAAAGCTTTGAATAATACATTAGCTCAGATGGATTAACCTGAGCAGTCATTAGAACAGCACTCTCACTTATCAGTGTGTAGGAATACCATCTAAGCAGCTCACAAACCCCAGTAAAAAACATGGAAAACAGGCAAAAGAAAATCAGTTCCAGAGGCAAATTCACACCAGCTCTTTAACCCACATGGCTTTATCTCTTTCCTCGACATCCATGCTCCCCCACTCTCGCCCTTCCCCCTTTCATCTCTACCTAACCCTGGTTTTACAACCCCCCTCCCTCTATGACTGTGCCTCTTTCTCTCCGCTAATCCTTATTGATGGACTCACTTCGATTGTTTGCTTCTGACCAGAAAATCTTGGACAAAACACAAGAATTAAGCTTAAAAGGTTAAATCTGTCAAATAGTTAATAAAAATCGTAAAATATGTTTTGAAAAGTACAAGAATGTTTTATTTTCCCCTCCTGAGTATTTTTCTTTCTGTGACCGTGAGTTTTACTCTGCTGTCAGTCTAGTGTAGCCCCGCCGTGAGATAAGCGCTAATCTCTTCTTATCATACAAGTCACAAACGCTGCCTAAAGAACCTGACGAGTAACAATCCTCATCCGGAGCCTTGGAACGACAACAGATTTGTTAGGATTTGAAAATGAATTTTAGTTTTTGATCAAATGAACACGATTGTCCTTCCATGTGCACAACAGCTTTACTGGGTTTCTCTTCATGCTGATTGCAGACATCTCCATTTTTACGCCAACCTTAATTTAACTGTGTTAGAGGAAGAAACCGAAGAGTCAGTATTTTTATTCATTTATATAGAGAAGTGAAACGTAACAGAGATCCGCTTTCTAAAAATAAAAGCTTTTGTCACTGAAAACATTTTTTACCCAACAAAAACCATTTCACACAATTTCAAGATCCATTAAACGGAAAAGACATGGGGGTTTAGTTGTGAGTATGTTTACTTGACTTCCTGGCCACATTGTTTTGTCCTGTTTCTCTTGCAGGTCTAGTCCAGCGATGTGTGATCATCCAGAAAGATGAAAATGGCTTTGGGTTCACTGTCAGTGGCGATAACCCCGTGTTTGTGCAGCTGGTCAAAGAAGGTGAGACCGAGTCTTAGAAACAAAACAACAACTCAAAATGCTGCAGAATATGTTCGGTTGTGGTGAGACAAGAAAGGGGAAGTGGAAGGAAACACTTGAAGACTTAAGTTGCTCTGTCGTCGATGTTGGGCAGCGTTTAACTGTCTTTCTTTTGCGTATGGTTTATACTTGTTATGGAATCAAATAGAGATGGAGAAATTACTTGTTAATTTCAATCTAGTGTGAGATGGACCCCGTTTTCTGACAAAAACACATCTAAATGTTCACCGTGCCCAAAGCTCGATGGGAAAGCTGAATTGCATCTCTGCTCCTCTTCATCAGCTCTGAGTTAAACACTTTGTACAAACTGAGAAGGTTCGTGGACGTATTACAGTATTTAACTTGCTCGTGTAACTGAAACAGGCTTGTCAGAAGCCGTCGTTTCGCTACATTAGCAGGCTAAAATAAGGACAGCAGCCGCTAGCAGTGCCACATCTGTTCACAGCCTCGTCGGGGCAGTTGCTGCTGTTTGTAGAAACGACTCCAGCTCCTGCTGACGGTGGAGTCAGACGTGGCTCTCATAATAACCTGTCTCATGCCTAAATCCTTTTGTTTGGGGTGGAGCTGTGAAACAGGTCCTTCTTGTAACATAACCACTGTTATGGTCTTTCAAAATAGTCACTTTGCCACATCTGCTCCGTCAAGGCAACGTGATGTTTGCTTTGTGTAGAAATATCAGCAGGGATGTCTTCGCTATTAACCCCCTAACCCCACTCCCCTGAAAAAATCTGTTAGCTCTATTTTATTTCTCTGCCTCTTGAGGAGATCTAATGTGTAGCGTTATTCCACTACAAATGTGTTATTTTTTCTTTGCCCTCACCAGATGGGGCTGCTATGCGGGCAGGTGTTCAGACAGGAGACAGGATCATCAAGGTATTGTAGTTATCTGTTTATGTTTCTTTAAACTGCAGGCCTCCATGTTCCTGCTGCTCTGATACAGAAGCTGTAGGCTGCCCCCTGCTGGACACTTAGTACTTTATGTTTTCCCACCACATCTTACAATTTAAAATTTAAAATTGTGGAATGAGTTATTAGATTGTATTTTCTGAACATCTATATTAATGCTTTTATTTCCCCTCTATGTGCCATTTTTTTCTTGCAGGTTAACGGGACCCTTGTGACACAGTCCAATCACACTGAAGTTGTGAAACTTATCAAATGTTAGTTGCTCTGCTTATATTTAACTTAAATGTCATGATAAAAACCTTTTTGAAAAGACTTAATCATCCTTTTGGTGTTTTATTCTAGCGGGCTCGTATGTGGCCCTCACGGTTTTGGGGCGACCTCCGGGGCTCGCTCAGATCCCGTTGCCTGAGGCAGAGCCTGATGTGTTCGGCGTTAGGGTATCCTCCCCGAACTCTCCAGCCACCGAACGCTCATGCAGTCCTCAGGACCGCCTCTTTTCCCCACAACAACAATATGTACTAAACATACGTTACTTGTTTATTTTCTGTCTCTGTTGTCAACATTCTTATTTACAAGGACACTCTTATCTTCTTCTTCTGTCTTATAAATTATTGCTTTTTTATCTTTGTTCCATCATTCCAAATGGTGGTGCTTTCTTTAGTTCTCAGCCTTTAAAAAATGTGCATGTGGTACATAAGTGTGTGTGTGTGTGTGTGTGTGTGTGTGTGTGTGTGTGTGTGTGTGTGTGTGTGTGTGTGTGTGTGTGTGTGTGTGTGTGTTTAAAGCCCAGATTAAGAATGCTAGGTTTTGTCTCCCCCAGGACGAGAACAACAGTTTCTGCGACCAGAGGACAAATGTCTTTGCAAAGTTTCTATCAAAGGAGCAGCAGGAGCTGCAGGTTAGCATAACAAAGACTATTGTCTCGTGTCTTTTACTTTAATATTGTTTTCCTATTAGGTTTCATCCCTAATTCGTCTTTCTAAGGAATATGTTTGTTAAAAATCCAAAGATCACATTTAATGTTTAATGGAAACTTGTTTTTTGTGTAGGAATAAAGTAGAAACAATCTGTAAATGCAATGATTCTTTTTTTAAATCAAGGCCCAATTTTTTTAAGCTAATGTGAGTTTTCCTGAGTCTACTTGTGTATTTGCCAGAATGTTACACTGATGTCCCAGACTAGTTGTTCCTGTTCACCTCATCTCTCACTGTCTAGGTCATGAAAAAGGAGTACAGCAGGAACCCCTCCCCCAAACTACTGAAAGACATTCAGGAAGCTACAAAACACATTCCACAGCTGCAGGGTCAGCTCTTCAAGGCCACTGGGACAACACAGGTACCGACTTGCAATTTTAGCCTCTGAGCACCATATTCACAGACAGAGATGCTCCAGAAACACAGGAGCAATCTTTTACTCCATTTTGTGTAGCATTGGAGATGATTCCAGACAAACATTAATCCTAATCTCATCAGAGGATTAGGTTTCCTCTGTGTGAAGCATCTCTTTTGTGTCTGTGTGACTTCTAAATGTATTTGCACACATGCAAATGGTCATTTTGTGAGCCTTTGAGGCTGACTGTGACTCTCTAGCTGATCATAATCAACAAAAATAAATAAATTGTTGCATGCTTCCTCAGGAGGCTGTTTCCGGTGGTGATGAAGACAATGGTAGCATATCAGAGACAGATTGGACCCCTCCTCATAAAGGAAACAACTGCATAGACCTGCTGTGGAACAACACTCCAGTAAGTTTACATGAAGTCAGAAATGTCACTTCCTTAAATTAAATAAATAAATAAAAATCACCATAGTTTTGAGCTCTAGAGAACACCAGCTTGTTTCAGTCTTCATACTGTATATGCAACGTTTTGTTAAAATATCAACAACACGTGTTATTATTTTTTTAATTTTCAGATTTGTTGCTATTATTATCTTTATTAGTATAGAAAAGACTAGACTTAATTGATCCCACAGCGGGGAAATTCACTCGTAACAGCTGCACATACTCCTAGAGAAAAGAAAGAAGAAAAATAATAACAAGATTACAGGCAAATACACAAAAGCAATAAACGTTTACTGTAACCTATTAATATTGTTATCCACATTTCACTGCGGTGTCTTAGTCCAAGAACATTCTGCGCTGAGAAAAGATGGAGAAGTGGACGATTTGGTTGAAAAATAGGACTTTGCACAATTAGTTAGAATTCAAAGTTTGTGTTTTGAGGGACTCCCAGCTGTCACAACATCAAATTTTAGCTCAATATCTGTAAAAGCGACTGAGCTGTAGCGGTTTCTGTGTTGGCTAAAGTTGATTAGCTTTGGAAGCCATCTTGAATTAAAACAGATTCCAAACGTAAATCAGTTCACATTGAAAACTTTTTCAGACTTTCTTCAGAATCTGTGTTGCGATTGAGGAGTTGTTTTGCTAGCACTACACACAGACATGCACAGGAACTGGTGGAGACCAATATTTACTGTTTTTTCAGCAGCGGCTGATAATTATCCTTAGTAAATATGATTTAAAGTCAGGCACATCCTCGGGCAGCCCGTTGCTGTCGCAGAATTTAATTTAAACAAATTTTTACGTTCACTAATAACATCTGCATGATTAATAATCTAAATGAACTGTATTTAGGTGTCTGACTTTAACACTGAGCAGTGCTCAAAGTTAAGATTGAACAGTTAGTTAAATTCAGAGTTCAAAAACTGATTCAGCTTCAGAAATGTTGTGCATCAACTGGTGTTATTAGTAACATTTTAGCATGAAAATAAGATGGAAATGTCAAGATATCCAACATGAAAATCAGCAGTACATATCGGCTGACCATGTCTCCTACATATGGGCATCTGCAATAGAAAAAAAACAATATCGGTCAACCTCAAACATGAGTGGACGCATGCAAACGTGTGCACATGCACAGGCAGAAACATTACTACTTATTTTTTTACTTTTAGAGGTGGGCGATAATTGAAAATGTGAAAATGTATCCCTCTTCCAGAAATCCCGTGTATTCGAACCTGGATCTCCTTCTACCCAGAGTCCAAGAGACTCCTGCGCGAGCCCCAAAAGCTCTCCTAAAGACAGCTTCAACCCCGTCTACTCCCCAGAGACGGAGGACGTCACTGACCTGGTATCTAAACCATTCTGGGTTGTTCTCATTTTCTTGGGGAAAGTTATTCATTCACTCCATTTGCTTTGTTGGTATTTGCCAAACACGAGTTCAGCGTGACATGTCAGAGGTTTCAACTATCAGGGTGTCGACGTATGTTTTTGCAGGACACCGTCTCTCCCACCACGGTCAGCAGTCCTCTTCCCTGCCGCCTTGGCTTGCAAATTATAGGAGCAGAAGACGACTATTTTGATTCGGACCAGGAGCAGGTACGTTAGGATAGCTTTAACGTCTTTTTCTTTTATGACATATCCTCCATCACGAGCTTTTTGAAGGAACTGTGAGTTGTGGGGCTTACTGTGTTGCAGACAAATGGCCAGTGTAACAGCTTTAACAGTATTGAGCAGCTCAAGTCTCGTCCTGCCCACCTCGCAGCTTTTTTGCATCATGTCATTTCTCAGTTTGACCCTGCTCCTGTGGTAAGACCCTCTACTGGAGCCATATTTATTCTGCTTTTTAGAGGAGTTTCTTACATTTGTGTGTTTTCTTTTCTCAGTTGTGCTACCTCTATGCTGACTATTACAAGCAAACCAACTCCAAAGAAACAAGAAAGGAGCTCCATAACGTCTTCATAGACCGGGCAGCAGTAGGTCTACGTTTTGATTATAAGAATAAATTTCCATTTGTATTATGTTACATAAGATACTCACATCTAATAGAGAGTTGCTGGTTTGTGACCAAATTTGCCGGTGATGACATTGGTGATACTTAATTTGTAGGAAATGGATCAAACTAACCCTAACCCTATTTCTGTTTCAGATTTTAAAAGTTCCCATTCCTGAATCAGTTTCTTCTGACCTTAGTAAGTATGTCTTTGTGTGCCTGGCTGGCAGCATTTAAATTGATCTTTTGAAGTAATTTTGATTTCAGTGTAAGCTGCTGACCTGCAGTAATCATTTAGAGGTTTACCAAATAAAATATCTAGTATATATTTAGCATGTGCTTCCCTCAGTCCCTTTGTATTTGATGTTTAATGTCTGTGTGTGTACATTTTTTGAAGACTGGCGACGAATGGAACTGAACCCTGAAGAAACAAACAAACAGTATGTTAAAACACTGCAGGACTCTCTCCTCTCTGACATTCAGAAAAACCTCGAGGACTTCAGGTAAACCTCTGAATCCTTATTTTATTTTTGCCATTTTATTTAGTTTCATTAGTTCCAGTGTTGGCTGCGCAGTGGTTAGAGCTGTTGCCTTGCAGCAAGAAGGTCCTGTGTTCGCTTCCCAGCCTGGGATCTTTCTGCATGGAGTTTGCATGTTCTCCCTGTGCATGCGTGGGTTAACTGGGTTAATTGGTCTGTCTAAATTGTCCTTAGGTGTGAGTGTGTGTGCACATGATTGTTTGTCCTGTGTGTCTCTGTGTTGCCCTGCGATGGACTGGCTCTCTGTCCAGAGTGTACCCCGCCTGATTGCCCATTGACCGCTGGAGATAGGCACCAACCCCCCTGCGACCCTACGTGGACAAAGCGGGTTCAGACAATGGATGGATGGATAGTTCCAGTGTCACTAGTTAAAACATGACATACATTTTTTTTATTGTGTAGTAATTTTTTTTAGTTCTTTTACGGCACCTTGACATATGTGCATATACAAGAGCACAAGTGGATCTAATGGAAGAGATGAGCTTTAAATGCATACTGTGCATCTTTTTCATATATTTTTTTAAATAATTTTCTTGAGCCAGTATGTGCTAAAACGATCCTTTATAGGGGTAATGAAAAGTCACTCAGACCCCACCGCCCCCCTGTGGCCAAAATACCACACTTGCAACTTCAGAGTATCTGGACAGTCCCTAGTTGATAGTAAAGTGGAGCTGGTATGCTAGCGTTGGAGTCTGCTTCAGCACGATTCCTGCATGCTTTAGATCGTGAGCTCAGCTTTTTTGTTTGATTTAGTGACGAATCGCTCCTGTAGAAAGTAATGAAGGCATTTCAGCAGTTGCATTAAGGTATTAAAAAAGACAAATGTACAGTGAAGAGGAGAATTTCACTTTCAGTTTTACAGCAGTGAGTTAAAACGGACTCTAGGGGGTGCTAAAAGCAAGCTAAAAACTACCAAGTTTGCCTTTAAATACATGAGGTTGGGAACAGTTGGCATGGAACATTTCAAATATTTGATGAATCAAATACTCAATTACTAAAATATTTGATAGCTGCAAACATGAATAAGTCAGTAGAAAAGAAAGATGACAGACAGGAGAAGGAAACCTCCAGCAGGACAAAAGTACATCTCCATTCATCAACCTGTTAAATCACCATGACTAATAACAGATCATCCGATGTTTTTGCACATGCAGGCAGAAACGCAGTATGGGCCTAACAGTGGCTAAGGCTGAGCTGACAAGACTGGACCAAGAAAGAGTCAGAGACCGGGTCACCATAGAGCGGGAGCGATCATACGCAGAAAGCATCATCAGTAAAATAGATGACATCCTGTAAGCAGCACACGTATACGTAGAAACATTCATTCATTCATTCTTTAAAAAGAATCTCCATACATTTTTGTTGCTGCTTGCTCAGTTCCTTTTACTTTCTGTTTGCAGGTTCACTACTCAAACCACAGAGGAAGACAAATGGTAATAAAGCTCCCAATTGGTGGCCTGGTGCAGAAAATGTCACTTGAGGATTAATGAATGGATTCTTTTGAGGAAAAACCTGTTTCACATCTAAAATAAAATGTGCCTCATGTGGCTCATTTCACTGTAATAATAAAAAAAAAGTCTTGTGCAATGCTAGTCCTTAAAGTTTCACCCAATATTAAAAAAACATCAACTTTTATGTAATTAGAGCTCTAATTTGCTCCCCCCATGTTCACAAATTAAACACCCAGGCAGCCTATTAAAGGGAACGTGATTTATGCAGCATATTTATATTAAATAATTCAGAAGTGTGACTGATTGAAACGGGCTTGTTTGGAGATGCCATATGGTCCCAGCACAGCACAGATGGTTTAGTTAGAGTTTGAAAAGAAGAAAAACTGGTGTGACATATGTTACCAGTCACGATGTCCTCCACAGATGTCAGCAGTGCCTCGTTTTGTAAATTGAACTCTTTTATTTCCCTTCAGCACTACGATACAGAATGTTATCTACACATACATGAAGCACCTTGGGGTGAGAGTCAAGGAACCTCGAATTCTGGAGGCCAAACGGGGTCGGAAAAGCTTTTTACCTAAAATGATGGTACTTCATATACATCTGGCATAATACACTTCCATCTTCAACCATTATCACCTATTTGACACTTTATTAAATCTATATTTTTACATCCAGCAGAAAGGCATAAAAACTGAGAAGGAAGGAGAAGACAAAGGCAGAAAAGTATTTATGTTGCCCCTGCGTCGGCCCAGCCGCATTGACTCGTCGCCAGGTGAGTCTTATGTTGTTAAATAAATTAAAACAGTGATGGTGTGCTTCATGAGTTTTCAAAACTCCTCGTATGCAGCCATTAAAGCCCTGGACAGTCGTCCCAAGCCTCAGAAACAGCTGTCTCAGCCGACGCCTGTGACCAGCGAGCTAATGGAAGTTGGTCCATTGAGAGGCAGCCAATCCAGCGATTGCAATGACCTCAATCACTCCATGTCTGTCACCACCTCATCTCCAAACATCAACACCCACTGCACAGATGTGAGCCGAGACGTCGACATCGGTGAGCCACAACATGACTAAATGAAGAGAAAAGGAAATAATGGTTTTGTTTGTTTAGCACAGTCACTGTTGATATCAGTTGTAACAGTGTGTCCAAGGTAGAGGTGTGAATCTTCACTTGTCTCCCGATTCGATTCAATTACGATTATTGGGTTAACGATTCAATTTGATTCGATATCCCGATGCATCACGATTATTTCTTATTGATTTGTTTTCATCGATAAATAGAAGATGTCAGATAATTGCTTTTTATTTTAATTTTTTAGTCAAAAACGTAATTGACACAACCTGCCATCCCTCAAAAGCTCTCCATTCCCAACAGGTTAGGACAAAACATTTTAAACATTTAAGAAGATTTAACGAAGTAAAACCATCCGTTTCCTCCTTCAACACCACGCCTCAGGCTGAGAAAAACACGCTTTGCAAAAACTCACAAAATCTCAAAAAGTACTGAAAACCTACAGGACACATAATGTAATAATAAAATACATAATGGGTTCATATATGAGTGTTTAATGTCTCTGAGCAGCTCTAGAGTCAAATATGTATGCCACAGTTGAAGGGTGTCAGAAATAACACCAAATGAAATGTTTGACTAGTTTGTTATTTTATTTGAACCCAGTGGTTCATTTCTGAAATGTTGGAGAATGAATCAAGTTCTGTTTGATGCAGAAAATAATAAAACATAAAACAAATTCTAAACCTCCAATAATATTTAAGATGTGTGTTTTATTCTTTCTGATAATAACACCAGCAGAAGGCTGTGGGCTGGATTAGGATTAAATTACCCAGCTGATGGATCTCCTTCACTAACCAGCTAACTACAAACCTTTCCACTAGCTGTCCTGTGTTACTCTCACCATGTGACCCTCATGTCCACGCTGTCTCTGGAGGAGCAGATAGGAAACAAGATCTCCTGTAATCTAAAAAGAACCAAAGCTTCCTCCCAGTGTTTTAAAATTGAATTTAACGTCAGTTTATCTTCATGAAACAAAAGAATAAAGTGGAATAAAAACTTCTATTTTTTCTATTTCTCTCTCCTTTTAACTTCTCCATGTCCCTAAATAAAAGAGATAGATGATTACTGATTACGCTGCAGCCGCCGTCACTGACCCCCGCTCCCTCCCCAAGACCGGATCTCCCTACATCACAACACTCGGTCTGACTGAGCGCTTCCAGGAGAAATAATAATTAAATTATGAAAATAATAATGCGTGTTTAGAGGAGCGTCCTCCGATCCTCTCTCTTGTGTGATGGGGCGACGGTGGCACAGGAGTTAAGTGCTCGTCTCGCAATCGGAAGGTCGCAGGTTCGAGACCCGCTCAGTCTGTCGCTGTCGTTGTGTCCTTGGGCAAGACACTTAACCCACATTGCCTGCTGGTGGTGGTCGGAGGGACCGGTGGCGCCAGTGCTCGGCAGCCTCGCCTCTGTCAGTGCGCCCCAGGGCAGCTGTGGTTACATTGTAGCTCATCACCACCAGTGTGTGAATGTGTGTGTGAATGGGTGTGTGAATGGGTGAATGACTGATTGTGTTGTAAAGCGCCTTGGGGGGTTCCAGGACTCTAGAAGGCGCTATATCAAATACAGGCCATTTACCATTTTTACCATTTAGCAGACATCCCCCCCCTCAGTCGCTGATCGAGCGAACGGAGCGCGCCGCATGACAACCCGCTCAATTAACATAATTCACGGCCCAAATCCAACAGAACCGGTCAGGCTGATTCGGTTCCGGTTCGGTCTCAGGTTACAACTCCAGCGCTCAGCCCTGCAGTACCACATTAAGGCGGAGGTAAATGTGGAGGACGCTCACTCTGACAGATTTGGATGCTGCGCTGGTGCCGCCATTAAAAAAACAAAACTACATTCCACTATAATCGATTATGGCGTACTCTTCTATGATGCAGAATCGTTTATGTCCGCATCGCGATGCATCGATTATTTGATTATTTTCCTCAGCTCTAGTCCATGGTCAGGTGTCTATGTCTTCTGAGTCTCACTTAAGGTTTAGTCACTAATAATCTCACAAGAAATTAAAATAAAACAGAACATTTGACAAAAATTCAAATCACCACTAAACGACTGAGTCTCCGCTAATGACACACAGTGGATAACTCAGTGTTACTCCACGTCCTTCATTTCAACACCAACCCCGAGTCGTAACAGCAAGTTAGAGCAATGTAATGCAGAAGCTGAAGCCAAAGCAAGTTCAAAGATCCAAATGTTTTAAAATGCATTTAGTTGTTTTGTATTTTTAACGCTTAAACACGCCGGTGATCAGGTGAGTCGGAGGGACTTTGAGCCCCGTGAGTGCATCCAAAACTACAGCATCATGGCACCACCTTTAGCTTCACTTTAGAAAAAGGAAAATCAATGAAGGTGTGTCATCCATCTGTATTTATGTCAGTTCTCTTTATGCTCATCTTGTAGTTTTGAAAATGTGAAAACATAAAAACACATAGAAAACTGATCTTTGAGTCAACTTTATGAACAACCCTGCTGTAACCGAGCTGGATGGACAAATAGTGCATAGTACCTTAGTACAAAACCTCTGGTATCCCACCGTTAATGAATAAAGCTAAATGTGTGTCTCAGGTGGGACGTCATCTGGGTCCTCCAGACTGAACGACGGCCTTCAGACCGACCTGGACGTGTTCCCATTCCCGTCTTCACCACTGGATGTTTGTGATCAGCTCCAGGAGGACGACAGTGACCGGTACTTTTACGGTCCTGTTTGGGATTTTCTTTCAAGTAGAAATTTTTGTCACTGAATGTTTTTATGATTACTTTAGAGCCCATGAGGGAACTCCAAAGGCCACAAGAAGGCAAGTATACTCGGTTTATTTCACTGTAGAGCTTTAAATAAGTTCAGGAGAACTTAACAGAAGGACCTGGACCTTAAATAGTTCCATGTAACATTCCAATAACAAAACCTTTCTCTTTTGCTAGATTTGAAGGATTGATTGCAGCTGATGTCCAAAGTGAGGACGATCAAGGGACAGACTCTGAGCACAATCCTCCAAACTGGCATCAGCGGGTGGGTCGAGAAGTCCTCGTAGGCCTCAGTCCTCATGAAATCAAGCGTCAGGAAGTTATCAACGGTGAGGGCAGCCTGTGAAAGCATCTTAGGCCACATGTTGAAAAAAAAAACAGATGGAGGGCTGGTATTTATGTCTTTGGTTGTCAGATGTAATGAACAACTGGTATCGTGTCTGCAGAGCTGTTTTACACTGAGCGCGCTCATGTGCGGATGCTGAAAGTTTTGGACCTCGTCTTCTACCAAAAGCTTTCCAAAGATGCAATTCTTCCTCCTACTGACATCAAAAATATCTTCACCAACTTGGAGGAGGTTCTGCAGCTGCATGGTACACACACACACACACACACACACACACACACACACACACACACACACACACACACACACACACACACACACACACACACACACACACACACACACACACACACACACACACACACAGTTTTTACACAGTTTTGAACCTTTAGGAATCAGAAAACATCTGAAGAATAAAATGGACTAGGACATTGCTGATCCTCACCTATTTTGATCTCACACAAAAATGAGACGTGCTAACTCTGATTTTGTGCGTTATTATTTAAGTTTCAATACTGGAGCAAATGACAGCTGTCCGGAAGAGAAACGAGTCTTCCGTCATTGATCAAATAGGAGATGACTTGCTCTCTTGGGTGAGTACAAGCCCTTCATCCTAACACTCAGTATTATTGAAGATCGGTGTTTCATATTTAAACATGTGCTTGTGACTGTTTTACATGAATCCTTCTAGTAAACATTAACTGGTGAAACATCTGCCCATCTCATTAACAAGACACCTTATTAGAGTGGAAGGGAGAGAAATAAATCCTTGTTTCTCAGTAAATGGGCCCATCAGAGGATGCCCTAGATTTGCCTGACAACCACACATCCCTGTACCAAGTGTGCTACATTTGATGTGAAGAGAATCCTCTCCACGGGATATAAGCTGGGTAAACGGTCCCCTGAGGATCCAGTCTGCAGTCAATCCTAAGATGTCCCTGCTAAAGTGACATAATCCTGGCCCTATATTTGGAGTCAGCTACTTATTTAAGGGTGTGCATGCAAAAATGTACATGTCAAATATTTGAGCGTCCCTCTGTGCACTGGTCACAGTTCAGCGGCGGCGAGGAGGAGAAGATCAAGCAGGCAGTGGGGACGTTTTGCAGCAATCAGCCTTTTGCTCTAGAGATTATTAAAACCAAGCAGAAGAAAGACTCGAGGTTCATTTCATTCATCCAGGTATGAACGTTTAGCTCACACAGGACATGCTGCTGCTCTCTGTCTGAGTAAAAGCCTCTGATCTGTGTGCTTTTATTTGCAGGAGGCTGAGAGTAACAGACTGTGTCGCCGGCTGCAGCTCAAAGACCTCATTCCTGTAGAGATGCTCCGGCTCACCAAGTACCCGCTGCTACTGGACAACATCGTCAAGTACACAGGTGCAGTAGTGTTGACCTTCTAACCACAGTTAGCAGTGATGGGTACTATTTATGGGTACTAATGATTATTTGTTATTTGACCTTTACAAAGTCCTTTAGTCAAACAGACACCGGCTTTAGACCTGAGGGAAAACAATCTCAAAGAGACTTTAAGCAACATGAATTACAGACTAATGGAGAGTTCAACATTAGACAAGTCCTGGAGCTTTGGTGCAAATGTGACACTCATCATTTTATTATTAGCTGGGGTTTGATTCTCACCAGCTATTATAGGACCATATAATGTCCCCTGCTTTGTCGTATTTTTGGAGAATGATGGCGCATTAATGGACAGAAGAACTACTGCTCCCTGAAGAATGCTAGTACTCAATACCATCGTGTTGTTTCAGACATTGCTGTGGAAAAGCAGAAAGTCAAGCAGGCAGCAGAATGCTGTAGAAGGATCCTCAGTCATGTCAACCAGGCTGTGAAGGAGTCTGAGGACAAACAGGTGAGAACTGATTTACTTTGAAAATCATTTTAATGCTTTTTCTTACATTTCCACTTCCCTCATTGATCATTTTTGTCCCTTTTTTCGATTCTCTTCTTCCTTCCTGTAGAAATTAGAAGACTATCAGCGAAGATTGGACCTCTCCACTCTAAAGCAGACTGACAACCCTCTGATCGCTGAACTAAAGGTGGGTTATCTCAGTTAAACTAGTTTTATGTCAACATTCTGGACTTGAAGTTTTATTTATTTTCTGCTCCTTCAGAATCTGGATCTAACAAAGAGGACGATGATTCATGAGGGTTCACTGTCGTGGAAAGTGAACAGGGACAAGACTATTGGTGGGTATTGACTGCTCATAGAGCACCTAATGATACCTTAACCACTGCTTGTGTCTGACATGCGTCGTTTCTGGCCTTTCAGAGTTGTTCACACTCCTCCTTGAGGACATCCTCGTTCTGCTGCAGAAACAGGATGAGCGTCTGATCCTTAAGTGTCACAGCAAGAACCTGGCAGGTGCTGCAGATACCAAACACATCTACAGCCCCATCATCAAACTCAGCACTGTCCTCGTGCGCTCTGTTGCTACGGGTCAGTTAAGTCTCTTGCCCTTTACGTGAACACCTGATCGGAATAAAAGCACTTCAAAACTCAATCTGTCTTCTTTCCCTTCAGACAACAGGTCCTTTTTCGTCCTCTCTGTGTCTGAAAACGGTTCCCACATCTACGAGCTAATGGCGCCCACTGTGACGGATCAGAACACGTGAGAGCTGCTGACTTTAGATCAGTTTATCTGATTTCTGTCGCTACAGTGCATCAATAGGCAAATGCATCTTCTCTCTTCTGCAACAGGTGGCAAAGTCTGATCTCCCAGAGAGCCGATGCAATGAAAGTCAAGCCTCACAGCATCATCCCGTTACCTCAGCCTGAGTATGGTTCTTCTAATCTAATCAGATTAGACATCTCCCAGGGTTAGAACATTTCAATAAGATGAGTTTCTGCATGTGTGTTAGCGGGGAGAGAGATGGAGCGGAGATCATAACAGCTGGTACTTCCCGACTGGGTAAAGACCCGGACCGCACATCCACCAGCAGCACTCAGTCCACAGGTAGCTGAAGCTGCTTTTATCTGACATGTTTTCACTTAAATAAGACGTGGGACTGATAATAATTATTTTTATTTAGATAAAGAGAGAGGTCCAGCCTCTAGAGGTGCATTACAGACTTCTCTACCTGGTAGTAATCCTTTTGAAGAAGTGAAGGCTGAGGAGGAGGAGGAGGAGGGTGGCTTTGTGGACCGAGTGCTTCCTTACCAAGTAGCTGAAATCGACAGAGAAGGAGACTCGTTTGATGTGTTTCCCTCTCGAGCAGATGAAGCACTGAAAACATGTAAGAACACAAATAAACATGCATAAAGTTTACTGTGCTTAAAACGCTAAATAAGTAAATCATTGTTTGTAATCTGCTCCTCAGTGGCAGCATTAAAGCACGTGTTGGTGACCCAGCTGATGTCCCAGGAGGCAGCAGAACAAAGCAAACGCTCCTCTGGAGTCCGTCTCCTCAGGACTACGTCCCTGCGGACCCCGACGGACAACCGCAGCAAGGTTCTGGTCCACAACGGCTCCGAGAAAAGTAGCTCCAAAACAGAAGACCTGGCTCAGGACCTGGGGTCGTGGGACACTGGATTCTTTGAGTCACCTGAAGATTACGGTAAATTTGCACAGTTAGAAAGTAGCTTTTATGAATCTGTTCAAATAAATTCACCATGATGGTGAAGTTTCATGATGACTCTAACTGCAGGATGTTTGGTCCTAGAAGGTTACTGCGGCCCACGGGAGAGCAGCACAGATGACGACATCCTGGCCTCAACCACAGGGAAGCAGCTGAACACCTCACAAGTCTGCGCTGCCGACTCCGGCATCAATTTACGATTTTCCTCCACGTCACAGGTCGGCAGCCTCTCCACTTTCAGCAGGCAGGTGCTGTCGCACCTTAGAAATCTTCAGACCAACCTCAACTATCTAAAGGTGCTTCACATTTTCCATGATGTACGCTCATGTAGTCAAACGTTTATCTATCTAGCGCCATAATCTTTCCCCTTCCAGGAGGTGGAGGCGAAGTACAACAATCTAATACACCAAAGGCCAGAGAGGTCGACAACAGACAAGGATAAAGGTATCTCCATTCATGCACAATTTACCCTAAATCACCACAGTTTTTCTCATCACATGCTTTTTCCTCCAACAGATAAGAGATAGTGTGGATGTCAGATTCTGGTTCTGGTCCCAAAGAGGAAGGACATACTTTCTTCTTCTGTCCTGGACTTTCTGGACGTCCTGTAAGCTTGTCCTCTCACTGCTGATTCCCCTTTTTCAATAGCACCCCCCCCCCCCCCCCTCCGGTGGGAGGATGAAAGACTTGAGAGTGAGCAGATGTTTGAAGGAACATCACCACCCTTCTCAGCACAAGGCAATCAGGGAAGTGGGATTGCCCCAGAACCTCAGCCGCTTCAACCTCCCAACACCCAGTTCCCCCTAAAACTTCCTGCGAGAAAGAGAACTTATACCAAAATGTACAAAGATGTGTGCTTAGAATATATGTATATGAAACACAAACGAGAAAAGGAAAATTTTAAGATAATGTATTAAGATTTTTTTTTATCCCAAGATGTATTTATTTTCTTTTTTTCTTTTCATTTTTTTCACGTATTGCTTCCCATACTGCTTGCATGCTTTTGGCTGCAGTGTTACCCTGCAGCTGCTCCTCGTCCTTCAGTCAGACCTGATTAGTGTGGGTGCACGCTGACACACTCCCTCTGGTGTGAGCTTAGGAACAGCACTGCATTCGGACTGATAGAGGCCAGAGTTGCACTAGTGACGGATACATCTCGTGTATTTAAAATGACAAATTGTTCAAGTCTAGGATTTAACCTAAATTCCAGGTGTGGTGTTAACTAGAATGAAGAGTCTCTAGACTCTGATATGGTCCTGTTTCACTTCTGTGCTGACTGCTGTCTTCTCCCTTTTCACTCTTGTTGTTTTGTGTGTGATTCTCTCCCTTCTTTTCCCAGTGAAAATCATGGTTATCTTTCCTTTTCCTCTTCCAAGTAACCAAGTGGCTTTCATCCTCACTCATCCCTTCCCACTCTAAATGTCACGCTTCCTCTTCTGCCTCTGGTTATCGTGCCCTTTCCCCCTCTCCTACAAGGAGCGGTCATGCTCTTTCTGTATCAGCCTCTGACAGAAACGCTGCTTCTCTCTGCTTCTGATGGTGATGCTGATCTGACTGCCTGATATTCTGATAATGGCATGAAGTTCAACATATAGATCAAGTTGGAAGGTTGTTCATTGAGGAAATAAACGCTGCCATGACATGTTCAAAAGCAAAAGTCGTGTGTGCATTTTGTTCTTTCATATTTACACAGTTGGTTTATCTGTGTGGGGCCACATGCTGGCTGGCTGTTACACTCAGGCTCACACTCGTTTTCTATAACAGTTTCAGGCATGGAGAAATGATTGAAGGCCTAAACTCTGGAAGCATAGTAAAAAATATCAAGGACAGCTTTGTTTTAATTATGATGGATGCATATGTTGTCTTAAAACTCACTCTTAAACAAATTATACAAAATGACTCACTTTTAATCGTAGTTCAGTTATGATCTTATTCTATTAATTTTAAATATCAAAGGCTGTGACCATAAAATACTACACTAATCAGGTTTATATGAATTTTGATAATAAAACCTACCATGATTGGTCAATATCTATATCAAAATAATCATAAGGGTTATTTTAAAGACAGCTGTAAATGCAAATATGTTCTGCTTTTTTTTTTTTAATTTTATTTCCGGGCTAGAATGATGCTGCACAGTTGTAAGAAAACATACAAATAGAAACACACACAGAGAATTTTTTTTAATTAAAATAAAGAAAATCTCAATCCTAGACTTTTATTAAAGTTGGCCGCCCTTCTTTAGTGTTTTATTTTGAAAGAACAGGAAATTAAAGTTGGCAGCCCTGCTTTTGTGTTTTATTTTGAAATAATTAACAGAAAATGTGTCTACTAAATAATTATTGTAATTTTAAATATGTATTTTTTATCATCTCATTCTCCACGTCCTCATTCCTCTTCCAAGAGAACAAAAACAACGAGTAGGATTATTTTCCAACTCCCTTTAGATAAGAAAGAAAAAATGTTCTCTTAATAGAACCAGAGTGCATTTCCGGTGTTCTCCCACTGGATGGCGGCAATTCTTCTAGTTCTTGTTAATTCAGCGATGTCATGAAAATAAACAGTTTTATTCTTCACATTTTCATGGATATCTTTTAAATGTTTTGCCCATAACTATTTAGCATTGGGGTCTATTAATAGCATTTGTTTTATCTCTCATATAGTTTAAGCTCATCAAAGCTCACTGGGGCCTTTGCATCATTCTGATTAAGCCCCAAATGACAAAAATAAAACTTTCTCTGCCTGATTATTCGTTTGGAATCCCTGCTCGGTTCATATATTTACTCAGCATTTTTTTATTTTTATTTTTTTACTATTAATTCGTGGTCATCTCCTTTGGCAACTGTGTCCTTTACTTCGGCTCAAATGTTATGAACCACTGAAGAGTAATCAAATAAATAAATAAATACCAGAAAGCCTAATGATTATTGTTCAAATTAGATTTAAACAATTCTAAAACAAAAGATCATTCATCAAATCAAACTTCATCCTCCTGAAAATCAAGTTCTGAACTTTGATCTTATAGTATCAAAACATGTAAAAGCAAAGTCAGAACCACTGGTGAGTAAATTAAAAACACTAAATATGTTGTTAATTACCAGCAGGTGGCAAACTTTCTCTATTAAACTTCATGCTGACAAAATCCACCCTAAAACCTGCAGTGACATCACCTTTTAAGCTACTGAGCTCATTCATCCTCCGGGTTACGTTTGTGTGGGAAGAATACATCTGGAATGTGATTGACTTCCATAAAGAACTAAACTGTAGTGACAGCGGTCCTAGATTGGAGAACACAAGTGGAGGAAGTCTCCCGTTGTGAGTGACAACGTACCACTTCCGCCTCTGCTGCTGGAAGAGTTTGAGACGGAGACAGCGAGAAGCTCGACAGCAGAGAGGTGAGAAAGGTTTAAAAATAGAAGGTGGAAAACAGAAAATTAGAAACAAACGGGGAGGGCCAGGTTCTGATCAAGATGCAGGTATAGGGTTAGGTAAATTGAGTACTTTTGGAGCTCAGTATATATATATATATATATATATATATATATATATATATATATATATATATATATATTAACCCGTGACCAATAAGCTATTAACCCGTGACCAATAAGCTGTGATACTCTATCTAAATGTAGAACATCACCCTGCCTGGTCTTTATTGCGTTTAATCAGAAGATTCTAGGATTCTTCATTTATTAGGGGATTGCACACACTTCGTTTTGATTCAGAAAACAGTCAGGTTTACAAAAGTAAGAATTTATTTTACAAACAATTAAAACTTGAGAAATTTGTTAACTATTATTTACTGTGAGTGGATGGAACTAAAGGTTCAATTCAATTCAAGTTTATTTATATAGCGCCAAATCACGACAAGAGTCGTCTCAAGGCACTTCACATAATAAACATTCCAATCCAGGTCAGTTCATTAAGCCAATCAGAAATAATGTTTCCTATATAAGGAACCCAGCAAATTGCATCAAGTCACTGACAAGTGTCAGTGACTATACAGCAATCCTCATACTAAGCAAGCACAAAGCGACAGTGGAGAGCAACACTCCCTTTTAACAGGAAGAAACCTCCAGAGAATCCCGGCTCAGTATAAGCAGCCATCCTCCACGACTGACTAGGGATCGAGAAGACAGAGCACACACACACACACACACACACACACACACACACACACACACACACACACACACACACACACACACACACACACACACACACACACACACACACACACACACATGCACGCACACACGCACACTCACAAAGACCAGTAATGTGTCTATAGTTATATTGTGATGTCTTAGTAAATATTGTATTTGGTGAAAGATAAACTTTATTGTATTTATCCTAGTGAATCTACAATTAAACGGGTAAACTAGCAGTAGCACATCCAACGTCAAGGAAAGCAAAAAGCCATTATCAGGAGAGGGAGAATGTTTTAGTGGTTAGCAGCAGTGTGCTAGTCGATGGCCCCCTCCATGAGGCCACCACAGCTCAGCAGAACGTCGTTGTAGCTTCTTCTGGGGAGAAAAACACTTACAGAGAAAATAAAGTTAACAGCTGAAATTGCAGAAAATAGTACAGTTAAAGAGCAGATTGTAGAAGAAAGCAGTAGAGTGTGGAAAGTGGTCAGTGTATCCTACATCAGTCTAAGCCTATAGCAGCATAACTACAGAGATAACTCTGGAATATCTATCCTATTTAGATGGGGGCATGTTGGAGTCAGGGCAAGGGAGAGCCGTCTTTACCGACTGTACACTCCACCTCCCTCTACTCCCCCACTTGTCCAGATTTAGGCTAACATCAGATTTTAACCATAGGCCCTATCAAATAAAAATGTTTTAAGCCTAGTCATAAAAGTAGACAAAGTGTCTGCCTCACGGACTAAGGCTGGGAGCTGGTTCCACAGGAGAGGAGCCTGATAACTAAAAGATCTGCCTCCCATCCTAATTTTAGATATTCTGGGAACCACCAGTAGACCTGCAGTCTGAGAGCGAAGTGCTCGGTTAGGAACATATGGAACAATCAGATCACTGATGTATGATGGATCTTGATGATTAAGAGCTTTATATGTGAGAAGGAGGATCTTAAAATCTATTCTGAATTTAACAGGTAGCCAATGTAGGGAAGCTAAGACAGGAGAGATATGATCTCTCTTTTTAATTCTCATCAGAACTCTAGTTGCAGCATTTTGGACAAGCTGAATACTTTTAACTACATTCTGTGGACTTCCTGAGAGTAATGAATTACAGTAATCCAGTCTTGATGTAATACATGCATGAACTAGTTTTTCAGCATCACTCCTGGAAAGGATGCTTCTAATCTTAACAATATTCCAATGGTGGAAAAAGGAAATCCTACAAACCTGTTTAACATGGGATTTGAATGACTTGTCCTGGTCAAAGATAACACCAAGGTTCCTGTGGACCTTGACCTTATAGAGCTCCGGGAGTTGACGTCACTTCTCCCGGCATGCAACAGTTCAAATCGAAACGGCACCATATTGGCAGGTAGAAGCCGGCAGCTGGACTATTTGTTATTGTCAGAAAACTCAATCAGACAGGAAATATGGTAGATTCCTGTTGTGCCCCAGGATGCAGAACAGACACGGACGACATAAGGAATGAGCCATCTACAGGATTCCCCAAGATCCGGAGTGCCGCAAATGTTGGATGATTGTAATAAAACACACTAGTGACCGGGCTTAAATGAAACTGTGGGACCGCGAGAGTAAAGGTTTTCGCTTATGCAGCGACCACTTCATATCAGGTACTTAAACCAACGTTTCCTCTACTGTGTATGGTATTTATTTTAAATGCTTTTATTACGATTCTTAGTGGGGTTCCTAAACTTATTTTGGCGTGGCCTTTTCTGTCTTATTACTCACAGCAACAAGTAAACATCACGTAAAACGTTGCCTCGTGATTTCTGCGTGCTGCCGTTTACGTGTTTTATGATCACTGCAATTAACCGGCTAAGCTGTATTTAATTTTTAAGCAATGGTTGATCAATTGTCAGATCACACATAAAAAGCACTTTGGATTGCTATTATCTGTCTCACCGAGACAGATCTCAGACAGATCCTGAGACGCTCCCGCCTGACATATTTATTTTATTCACGGAAAACAATCAAACTAGTGATTTCTCTTGGCGTTCAGTTTATACATTCAAACAGCACAGAACTCTGTTTAAACTACTTACGTGTAAATCTGTTATTTGTCCATCCATTTTCATCCGCGTATCCGGAGTCGGGTTGCGGGGGCAGTAGCGTCGAGAGGCCCAGACTTCCCTCTCCCCAGCCGCCTGAGCCAGCTCCTCCGGGTAAATCCCAAGGGGTTCCCCGGCCAGGTCCGGTAAGAAGTCCGCTCCGACAGCTTATGGCGTTTTTAAAAAGTATCCCAGGGGCACGGTAAGGATCGGAGATGTTTAGTCTATTTAATCTCTGACTATATAAAACGATTTCTTCGGTTTTAAAGTGTGAAGTAAACTCTGACAAAGTAAAATCCAAGCTGATCCCGTTCACGTTCATGTTTACGATCCGTGTTTGTTTAGCTTCTTTTACCTGCCAATATGGTGTCTACTAACTGAGAGTCACGTGGGGTCCGGAGCTCTATAGGAGCAGAGGTCAGTCCAGCTGAACTGGAATGA